AGTCGAGAGCCCTTCTTCCACAATCGTGTCCTTTTTATTCAAAATCAGTAAGATTAAATTAAAAATCAAATATCAAATCTCAGAAGAGAAATGTTGAAACGATTGAAACCAGTAGACACGAAAATTTAACTGGGTGATTAGAAATCTCTAATTCAAGATACATCTCATTCGGTACAATTAGAAATTTTTACTTCGTTCCCCTCCAAGCTCTTCCACTTTGAGAATGTAATCGTCTCTCTTGCGTTGTGGGAAACAAACAAGTCGCATTCACAAGTCGCGAGAGCTCGCCAGCGAAGATCGTATTCCGGCCAGCGCGATAACGAGCTGCACGATGCACCGTACGTTCCGAGGTGCCAAGCGGTCTACCGGTGCAAGACTCGGGCAAAAACTAGTCCAGCTTACTAGTGTCCCCCCCGGACACGCCCCAGCGGCTTCTCCCGCTGTAGTTTCTTCCTTTTGCCAACGCCGGCGATTTCCCATCCCGAACGAGAATCCGATTTTTCCGTTTACCGCGAAAGGAAGCCAATCCCCCCCTCCCTCCCGGGCAATGAAAAGAAAACCAGCGGCTTGATGCTCGATGATCATCGAGTTAGCGCGACCTACGTTGCTTTCTGGATTCACGATCGAGGCAGGGATGGCCTTGGGCCGAACCAGCGACGACCTTGGCACGTCGTCGTATACTTATATAGACGTGTTCTTTTATGGCAGAGATGAGATACGTTCCCGAGCGCGGTCGATGATGCCGTATTAAATGGCGATTTATGAGCGAATTCCAAAAAGACTTGTCAGAAAGTCGTATGAATCACATCGACTAGAACTATTTTGTCGTCTAATCACTTAGTCGAGTACGAAAGGATCGGTTTGGCTAATAAAATTCCGAACCTTTATTACGCGATGCGCAAGCAGAGGTACGAGAGCGTGTGGATTTCTAAGACTCTCGCGGAAAACAAAAATCGAACACGAATGAACTACCGCCGGCGGCCATCCGGCGCGGCCGAGTACTTATTAATTATCGCATAAATTGCGAGCTCGATGCGAGAGAGGCCTGGCCTGGCCTGGCCTGGCCTGGCTTGGCTCTGGTCGGCCTGCCAGATCATACAATTTCCACGGCGGCGCTCGCGAAATCCGATTATCCCCGCGATGTTTCAGTGATTGAACGTGCGCCGCGAGCGGCGAGGCCAGCGCGCGAGCGACTTAAATGGTACGGAAGACCATCGTTATTCGATCTAAGTCACGGGCAGAAAATTAGATAGCGGCGGCGCGCCGCCTCTCTCGCCGCTCGCAGTAGAACCGGTCAGTTATCGAACAGGCGCGGCGAGGATGTGCCCGCGCGAGATCGCCTTTTGCTCCCCGCTCCGCGCGCTTAAATATACAAAAGGATCACTCGGCATAATGGGAGCGAGCGGGGCGAGGTGGGGAAAATCGCGGTGGGTGGTGATACGCCGATACCCCCGCTCCGGATGTCCCGAGCTAAAAGAGAGACGGACGTGCGATTTATACAAAGTGTTTCAAAAGCGAAGGGTCGTCAATCGTTCGGGAGGCGATTGAAGGCCTCGGAAACAAGAAGAAAAGTTGATATGAAGTTGGTATAGATCGGGAAATTGTTTTCGAGTTTATCTGCCATTTTTATGTTGAAATTTTTTTAAAAGAAGAGATGGTCTCGTTATAACATAATTGAAGATAATAAATAAAAGTTACCGGCACTGTTTAAGCACTGCACAGGATGCACCACTATCTCTTCCCGTCTCGTCGAATCTCGAATTCATTTATCTTCGTTTGTAGATTTTGCTAATGTTTGTTTAGACCTAATCACGGGGCAATATTTCATGGAGGACAGAAAATTGTAGCGAAATTAGTTCGCGAACGTTAATTGGAGGAGTTTATCTACAAATAAATGAATCACGTATCCGTAAGTGGTGAGATTGGCGCGTGGTCTTTTTCGAGATCTTCAAAGAGAAACGGAGGCAAAAAACGAAGCGATCGACTGATGCTGATCCATTAGGCTATTCAATTCGTTATTATCATTTTGTTCAACTCGTCCAAGTTACGGACGACCACTCAACGATTAACTTGATGAGAATTATCATGGGAGAAGGACGTTGTAATGATTATTTCGTAAATCAAATTTTGTTTTCGCGTTTTTAATTAACGTTACCAATTTGGCGTTATTGTGGAATATTTCTATCAATTTTCTAGTCTTTTTTTATATCGATATCATTAAATTGATTATAGAGGATAGCTGTGACTTTGGCTAGCTATCAGTGACAATAATAAAATCTATTGAATTTAAAAAATTATTATTAGACATCAAAATTCGGTCATGTAAATATCTTATATATCGTGATATTAAATATATCATTTGTTGTGCTCTTGGTGTTTTTGGTGAAGTTCGATCCGGTAAACTTTGCGGCAGATTCTGCATCGCGTTGGTCAGCGATGTAAATTTACATTCGCGTGTACGCATCTCGTATGCGAGAGCGATTTAATACACGAGCGGCAGAAGAAGAAGAAACCGGG